TTCAAGAGGTCCTCTGAGAGAAAAGTCTCATTTGTCGGGCAAAGCTTTAACACGACCAGTGGTCTCTCTTAATAGAGAGTGGCGCTTAAGCCACTGAGTTAAATCAAAACCTCAGCGAAATTTCACGAACGGTTACAGTGCATAGCGACGTTCAGTAGCACTGAGGGTCTTTGACGCGTAGACGACTGGCTGTCCCTCTTGTAGAAGAACAGCGCCTAGTCCTACGCTGCTACTGTCGCATTGGATAATCGTACTATTGGATGCATCGAAGTATCGCAGTACCGGTGTTGAGGTTATCATCTGTTTCAGTTGATCAAAGGCTTCATCTTGTTCATGGCACCAATTCCAACACCCAACCGGTGGATGTAAGATTCGCTTACAATTATGTGGGATTCATCATCAGAGGATGTAAGTGGAGACCGCATGAACCGAGGATGCGATATACCTAGCTGCGGTCCGATGTAAGAAAATTGGAGACCGAAAAATGTGGAGTGTATTAGTGAGTGAAATTAATTATGTCGAAAAAAATAGAAAAAAGGTTGCCGACTGGACTCGAACCATGGACGTTGCGACTATCAGACCTGTGCTTTCTCCACTGCTCTCTCCATGCTTCTGGATATGGTCAGCCTAAAAGCAAACATGAAGCGCTCATTTTCTCGCATGCTCGACTTCGTATGCTTTTTCTGCTGGAGAGATTCGAGATAAGTGTGTGCGTCGTTCTACAATGTTCTACAATGTGCGTCGTTCTACAAGCTTACTGGTATAGTCGAAAGCGTAGATGCAACACGAAATAAAAAAAGACAAAAAACCATTACATCGCCTGCATGGTCAATTTCTAACATGCGTTGCGATGTTCATGAACAAAGGATGATAGGAAACGGAACTAACATTCATTGTAATAGATTTTTGGTTTGCGTGAAGGCTGGTCGTGATTTGTCAATCTGCGCAACGGTTCCGCTACTGTGGACAGGCTTGGAAGATAGTGTGATAAGTATGTTACCATACCCAAAAACCTTTGAACGGCAGGAACATCTTCTGGTTTCGGCATATCCAATATGCTGCTCACTTTTTCTGGATCTGGTTTCACGCCTCTCGCTGTAAGTATGTGCCCAAAGTACTTGACGCTATCCTGACACAGCTTGATTTTGTCCGGATTCAATTTCATGTTTTTTTTCTTTCATTCTTTCCAGAAATGCTCGCAGATTTTTATTATGGTCGATCAATGCTTCGGCAACAGTATTACCACATCCAAAAATCATGAAGTCATCCATCAATGCTCGTACATTTTTCAATCCCTGTATCGCTTCGTGTGCTTTCAGTTGGAACACCTCCGGTGCCGGGGAAATGCCCATTGGCATTCGGAGCCATCGGTACCTACCGAAGGGAGTCCAACACGTAGTAAGCTTCGAGCTTTCTTCATCAAGCTCCACCTGCCAAAAACCAGACTTGGCATCCACAGTCGTAAAAACCTTAGCGTTGGCAAGCTCTGGCAGTAGCTCATCTAGTGTAGGCATCTGGTAGTGTGATCTTTCAACATTATCGGGTCAATGCAAACTCTCAATTTGTTGTTTCTTTTAACGAGTACTAGGTTACTTACCCAGTCGGTGTGTCGTTTTTCTTCAATGATCACTCCTTGGTGTTCCAAACTTGTCAACTCTTGACGAAGCTCATCTCTCAGCGTTACAGCGACTCTACGCGGATGCTGTACTACTGGTTTAACGCTCCTGTCCACATCCAGATGGACGCACCCCTCCAATTTTCCAAGTCCAGAGAAAACTTTAGAATACTGACCCAGGATTTGTTTTGCTACCGATTTCTGGTCATCAGTGACGGAAAAACATAACTGAATCAATTTTAGTCGAAGACAAGTGTTGACTGACAACAATGGAATTTGTTCGAAATCCACTACATGGAAAACGGCTTTATATCGGGTTCCGTTGTGAACGCAATCTATCTCAGTGCGGCCCAAAGATCGGAACTAGCCTCCTCCAAACACCTTCAAGACTGCGCTGTGCCTGTCCAGCGACAGCTGACTAGTTCCGAGAATTGCTTTCGCATTGGTTCTTCCGATTACGTTGCAGGAAGCTCCGGAATCTAGGATGCACGATACCCTACGTTGGTGCTTTTTTACATCCAAAAACGTTATCGTCGCCTTCAGCAAACCGTCGTTCTCCTTACGTAGACTGTACAGGTATTGACACATGTTAATAGATTCCTGGTCATCATCCCGCTGCTCACCAGTTGCATTTTCTTCATCCGGCTTAACGGTGTTGACTTTGTTAGTTGGCTTCCTCGAAGAACTGGGCAAACCCAATGACCTATTTTGCTGCTTCTTCTTTTTGCACGCCACCTCGAAGTGGTTTTTCAGACCACAAAAATGGCATGTTGCTCCCCTGGCTGGACATTCCAACAAATTCTTGTGGTACGCTCGACCGCAAAAGCCGCACTGCTTGTTGCTTCGATTTCCTCCAACAATTTTGTTGACGTTATGTTGCTGAGTTTCAAGCCACCGGTTGCGCTCCATTTTGGCTCGAGTGGCTTCCTCCGTTCGACATAGCTCGATAACTTTCGCTGAAGTTAAGTCTTCCGTTTCGATGAATTTTTTCTTCAGGTGCACATTTTGAATGCCGGTAATAATTTTATCCCGGAGCATCTCATCTTCCAAAGCACCAAAGTTACACTCTTTCACCAACGTACGCGCCCGGTTGATGAATTTCATCAGACTTTCGGCTTCGTTACTGTCGTCTCCGGGCTCTTGCCGGCATTGGTAAAACTCGTAGCGAGCTAGTTTTATATTTTTCTGCGGTATCATGTACGTTGATAGCGATTGCACACAGGCAGCGACCGTGTCCTTTTCATCGTCGCGAAGGGGCCACAGATTAAAGATTCGTCTTGCCTCTGTGCCCAGCGCAGATTTGAAAGTTGCCACTTTCATTCTTTCATCCAGCTGTTCCACTCCATTATGCAATGATGTACGTTTCGAAAGCATCCTTCCATAGTTCCACGTTCTCCCGGAGGTTGCCGTCTAGTTTTAGTGGCTCCGGGAAGGGAATGCTGCTGTTTATAACTGGTGCCACTGGCGGCTGCTCCTGCGGTTGTGCCATTCTTGGTTTCGGAAACGATTATTTCCCCAACGTTTTTTCGCGTATTTACGACGAACGTTCGACTCCCGGACACTTAAACGGATACTCCGCGACAAATCCGGAACGTCCCGCAGAAATTTAATTCGGCTTACGGAACTACGCAGTAATATTCAATGCTTCTTTTGTTATTTTTAACTCTGACACCATGTCAAAGAAGCACATGGTTACTTGTGTACGGTTGAACTAATAATGACTTTATTCAGGTTTCAAGGTATACAGAACAAGGTAAACTAATCAATGTGAATGCTTGTTAGGTGTGGTGTATACAGAAGGTATGACAATGGAAACATATTCTGTAACAGAAATAGCAATCCGCACCTTGGGAAGTAGTGAGTTCATAAATTTAGCAACCCGGTAGCAACGCATCAGACGGTTGCTATATTGAATAAACGTCAAAAGTTTGTTTTGCCGGTGTGGAAAACGGTAACTTAAATTATGACTCTGATAGCAACGACCGGTGTGGAGGGGAGTGATTAAGTCAAAATGGAAACGCTGTGCGTAAGTAAAATAGTGCCGCAAATGGCAACGACTGGTACGGTTGCTCTTAGACTGAGGACACGCAAAAAAGCTGAAGAAACTCAACCGTTCGCGAACAGAACCTACTTCGATCACCTTTAATTATGTGGAAATATAAATAATGCCATAAACATCGTTGATCAAGTAACGGGATGTCCCTTAAGGCCCAAGAGCAATGACAGCGGCAACCCGATCTGAGTAAGCCTACTTGTCGGATTGAAAACTAGTTAGAACTAAATCGACTTTGGTTAGGCATCTTGATGTCATTTGTAACAACTGTCAAATTTTCCATTCCGCTTCCACCCACATTGCATTTGGGCATTTAGGAGTAATATCGAGAAAGATAACGAGCAAGGCAGAGTTGACAGTAATGCGATTCGATACACATGTGTCAAGAGATTATCCACGGGTACAACGAGTTTCCATCACTTTGTTACAACAGTAGGTGTCAGATTTACCACCACTGTGCAGTAGAATCACTTGAGGCATCAGAACTTTTCCATTACTGCTGCTGTGAAGGGATTAAACCTACGCACTTCTCCAACTTTTCTGATTGATGCCATCTCAACGTATAGGACTATTGCTCCGAACCGCAGCATTATCCATAAACACAGAATTGTTATTACCTTTCAACTAAATTGCACCACCCTCCTCTATAAATTCCCCCATCGCAGTCATGCAGCAACAAAGAACCACATTGTGTATAAGATTATGTTGCAATCAGTTTACGAGTTATGTTTGTTATGAAGCTTTTCCACTCCTCTTGATTTCTTTTAATATTTTCAATCCGCCGTCGCAATTAAGCGAAACTTTCTCCCCGATCAGTCTGAAATTATAATGCTAAGAACAAAACGCAATCCGAGCCAAGGAGTTGTAAAACTTTACTCGCTGGCGGCTGGGAATCCGTCTGCTGTTTTTAAAGTTATGCTTCAGTACAAATTGATTCCACGCTGGCTCAATATCTTTAGGTTTATGTTAATTGATAGAAGACTGTCTTTCGCTTCGCCGCGTTTGAATCGCCTTTAGTAGCAACAGACTGAGACTATTCAACCACCACAGCAGCTAATGGCATGACCGGCTCTTGGTTCAGGGCCTATTGTGCCATTCCGCGAAAACCGACACCCGACAACGACCGCCTGGACGGCGGCAAGCTTGCTAATCGAATTTCAACGCTCTGCCAGACGGAGTCCTACCGTTTCCGAAATTCGAATCTTCCGGTCACAGTGATTTTAATGAATACCTCTGCGTGGAAATAATAGAATTCGCCTGAATTTCTAAATCTTCCCACACCACGCTGGTTTCACTCTCTCTCACTCTCTCATCTTTTCTTTTCGTTTGCAGCGTGGATCCTGGGGGTGTTTTTCTGCAAGACCGTGTCCTACATGCAGGGTGTCTCGGTGTCGGCCTCGGTCAACACGCTGATGGCCATTTCCATCGAACGGTGCGTGGCCATTTCGTTCCCCATTTCGGGCACGATAACCACCAGGTGAGTCCCATCTGTTCCAGACAAAAAACGATGACGATTGTTCACAGCAAATTCCAGCGAAATTCGTTTTGCCAGTTGGACATAATTGATAATGGACATTTTTCACCTGCTTTCACAGACAATACCGAGCAATTGTTTCCGTCATTTGGATGATAGCCTTGGGTATCAACCTTCCGTGGTTATTCGTGTTCACGCTGAAACCGATCGGAATTCCGGGAAGTCTGGCTCAGGTAGGTATAGATGGGAACACGTGCCCATACATAAATGACATAGCATATTTTTTACCCATTTTATGCCTAGCAGCGAAGTAAAATTTAACGCAAGTGACTGCGAAAAAAGGATTGTGGAACATTTCTTGATTTCTTCTTCTCACAGTTGTCATAGTTCATGCGCGAGTAGCATACATCGGTGACGAAAGGTTGCAGCAACTTGTTTCTTACTGAAATTAGTTACATACAAGTTTCTACAACCGATTTACGACAAGTGCTCTAGAGGTGTCTACTAAAATGCACCACAAATTCCCACTCCGGTGGCAGAAACGTCATCCTCCAACATTTTGCTTGAAGCCAAAGTTGTTGGTTCTTTGGCTCGATTATCTGCCAATCTAATGCCTTGTTCAGACTGGAGAGTTATAACATGTTATAACGGTTGTCAAATAATTTCAACACTGAAACCACCATCAAGATAGCGCAATAACATAGAGGTAACTCTAAGACTAGTAGGTCCCGAAGAAACGTGCTCAATTTTTTGGCTCAGCTCTGGTACTATCTCCGGTCCCAAGCTAATCGATTCACCCCTCGAAACATAGGAAAATCCACTAACCCCTCATTTTATCTGTCAAACTTTCATAGTGAATCAAAACAAACATTATGTAGTACTAGAATTTTGACTAGAATGGGATACGTTAATCGATTTTCTTGGGGCCAATAGGCTAGTCAAGTAGTGATCGAATTTAAAATCGTTAGTTTCGTATTGATTGTAGGCAATAACATGTTATAACGGTTGTCAAATAATTGCAACACAGAATCCATTGATGATATCCCAAATTGGTGGTTAGGGGCTTCTTAAGGCCCAAGCAGAATGCCAGCGGAAGCGGAACGGCAGCGGCAACGGAAAGCCCGATCTGAGTAGGCCTACTTGTCGGATTGAAAACTAGTTAGAACCAAATCGACTTCGGTTAGGCATCTTGATGTCATTTGTGACAACTGTCAAACTTTCCGTTTCCGTTCCACTTCCGCCCACATTGCGTTTGGGTCTTTATGGTTATTGTTTATGCGGGAAGTTGTCAATACTTTTGTATATTGACAATATTTATGCCCGTGTTGTGATTGCCTAACCGCTGGGTATTGCGAACTCTGTCGATTTAATTTTTCAAGTGAGCAAGAAAACATCTTGAAAATCTTTCGAAGCTTCAAATTGTTTTGCTGAAACAGCTCACGAAATCGTTTATACATGCTGTCAAATGAACTCTTGGCTCCTCCTTCTCTGCTCCACAAATAACGTATACATGGTGTTGGGAGTGCACCTGCCCACAAAGCTCACATGACTCTTATAAAGTTTGTTAAATTCTTGTTTCAGCAGTTCGTAACCCAGTTTTGGCATTATTTTAAATATCAAATAAAAACACTTATTCGAGCATCACGTTCGATGATTTACATTATCTGCCTACAAAGGTTGATGTTTCGACAGTTTCATAATTTAATTATTAATTTGTTTTCAGTTGGTGGCAATACCTTTACTTGTGGTTCAAACCGAGGGGGGCGACACATCTAAATCTCAAGTTCAGATGCTCAACAAATCTCACACTAGCGAATCAATCTTCGAAAAATCTTCTTTCATTTGTCGCATCTACTTACATCGCTCATCATCTTTTTGCAGGAAATCTTTAGAATCGTCATCAATCTTCTTTCTATCTACTCAGCGTGCACGCAGCTAGCCACAGCAAAACACAATCTTTTCCGCATCGTAGATAGAGTCGTCCCCCTCGGTTCAAACAGTAACTACCCACATGTCTTCTGAGCTCTTCTTCTTCTTTCCTTTATTTAACGTCGGTCTCTGTTCCGCAATCTAGTGCCAATCACCGACGGCAATCGAATGTGCAGGAAGACAGCTTCCACACCTGCGTAGGATATCGCACCCATTCAACACACATGGGCCGGGACCAACGGCTTTACTTCCCTTCCGAAGTAAGACGTGACCAGAGAGATTTTTATGCCTCAGAAAAATCCCACCGACCTCGGCTGGGATTGAACCCAGACCCATCGGGGTGTTAGAAAGCAGTCACGCTTACCACTACACCACCGGCGCCGGCATTCTGAGCTCTTTTGAATGTTTGGCTCCCGTTTGACAGTTCGACTCGGCTCCCAGATGACAAGCATTTTCAGTAAAGTACTCAGCTTATCAGTTGCTTTCTCAGTTCATATACACTTAGAAATTATCGCCGACTTCGGTAAATTTTAACGAAATCGGAACATCTGAACTTTTCGGTAAAATTTATGCAATTCAATTCAATGGCTTTTCAGCTACTTTGAAACTAAATCTCCACTAAAATGACAAAATTTGATCATTTAAACAAGGTTGAACATGTTTTGATATTATTTTCAACAGCCTTTAAAATGAACGTCAAAGTTTTACCGAACGTTCAGCTGTTCTGATTTCGGTGAAATTTACCGAATACGGCAACAAAATCTTATGTCGTTTTCGTTTTTGCGATGTAGCTACACCGGTGCTACACTGCCGTACACCGAAATAATTTAAGGTGTAGATATAGTATGCACCTTTGTTTACAAACAAATTATGTTGAGCTGTCAAAGACTCGCGCATATTCCTGCTTACACTACACCGGTGCTACACCGCAAAAACGAAAACGACGTTAGTGTGTACATTTTGACGTTCCACTGCAATCGGTAATATCAGTGCTAACATTTGAAAACGGCACAAAAGCCATTTGTAAACAAATGGTTTGTGGGCCCTTTACTCACTACTTGAAGTACACCCACGCGACACAACAGCAACATCGGGTAGGGGAAATTGTCCCCTTCCTGACGATGCTGTTGGTTTGCGTGGGCGTTCTTCGGGTAGCGAGTAAAGGGCCCACAAACCATTTGTTTACAAATGGCTTTTGTGCCGTTTTCAAATGTTAGCACTGATATGTTCTTCAACTTTGCAGAGAACTCCTTCTTTTTATCTATTGAAATAAAACAGTTAGATTTGTAGTGTTTTTAAATATCTTTATTGAGATTTTCACGTCCGGTTGTATTGGTGCGATATGTGAGACCGTGTTAGTGAATATCCGAGGAAAATACATAACAAATCGATATCAAACTCATTTTGACAGGTCTACTTTCATACATCTTTTAGGTTAGCCAGAGGAAAATAATAAACAACTTTACACGGCGTTGCTTCCGCTAGTGTGCGTGCGTTAAACGTCACTAATCTCTATTAACGAGACTCTCAGCCCTGGGCTGGTTCGTCGCCGGAAAAGATTTGTAGTGGTGAAGTGTAGTTTTACCTTAATGTAAACTTAAAGTGAATGTTAAAAAAAAATGCGGAGCAACAAACTATGAAAGTTTTCTGAACACACTTAGATGCTAAAAGGTACACGAATTTCCACCTCTAAACCACTGCGTGGTGGTTGGGTGGTAAGCGGGACTGCTTTCTCTCCGCAGTGGGTCTGGGTTCAATCCCTGCCGAGGTTGCTAAGATTTTCATTTTCATTCTGAAGGGATTTAAAACCGTTGTTCCTGGCCCATGTGTTGATTGGTTCGATATCTAGGGTTCAGGTGTTGAGTCGTCTCCATGGCGTCGCTCTAACTCTAAGAGCAACCATACCAGTCGTTGCCATTTGCGGCACTATTTTACTTACGCACAGCGTTTCCATTTTGGCTTAATCACTCCCCTCCACACCGGTCGTTGCTATCAGAGTCATAATTTAAGTTACCGTTTTCCACACCGGCAAAACAAACTTTTGACGTTTATTTAAAATAGCAACCGTCTGATGCGTTGCTACCGGGTTGCTAAATTTATGATCTCACTACTTCCCAAGGTGGGGATTGCTATTTCCCCAAACCTGAATAGCAACCCCCGGTATGCAAGTAGCGTTATGGTAGAGGTTGGTAAATGTGCCTTATTTACTCATTGGTACGGTTGCTCTTACGGATCTAAGACCGACGGATAATAAGCAAGAAAAACAATAAAAGACCAAGGCACTGATAAAATAGTTACAACACTGAACAATGTTTCCTATACCGCTAAATGTAGATAGGCATAATCTAATCCAAGTTTGCAAGATCCAACAATCAAATTCAGCATCTGGTATAAAACAATACATTTTCAGATCAGCTCAGATCTAGATATTTGGATATTACACAAGTTTTTGATCAGGAATGCAGATGCCCTAAGAGATTCGATTGGGTAGGCCAAAATCTTGGCATTTCGCGGCCATTTTGAAAACTATGATGATGGTGCAGGTTTATTTTTTTCCCGGCGATGCTTAAGAGAGAAGTTTTAAAACGCTTCTAATTTTCGAATAATGTACTTTTAACTAATTTGATTGTTGATATGGGTGATGAAAAGTCAAAATTTACCTAATCTAACTAACGTAAAGTCCAAATAAATTTTTTGTTAATCTATCTATAAAGAGTTAGATTCAAGCTTTAGTATTCTTCCAATCAAACATCACAGTTGACGCACGGTAGAACCACACTTCGTGTTTTCACTGAAGATACACCAGGGTGCGCTCCCCACTTCAGTGAAAAATCGGATAGTGTGGTTCTACGGTCAGACAGTTGTGATGTGTGATCGGGAGAATACGAGATTTTATCTATCTTTTACTATCTATCTTAGACGAATTAACTTAACAGTCAATGGGACGTTAGTTTTCTATGTTAAAATCTCGGTTAAAACAATGAACGATGCTCAAAATACCGTTGCCATTCCTGTTCACTTCTGCTTGAGGGCTGTTCATACACTACGTAGACCGATTTTGAGATATATAGAACAACTCGCTCCCTCGTGCTCGTAGACAATCGTCCATACGCATTTTTGGAAATTTGTATGGACCGTAGACGCTCGCCAAAACAACTCATCATCATAGTTTATACGTAGTTTATGAACAGCCCCCTGTCGGTTTTAAAGATGACCACGAGAAAGCAAGTTTTTAGTGAAATGCTAAGAGGAACAAACAATTGAGAGCTCTTATAAAACACCTGAGTTGATCAAACGTTGAATAATAGCTTCCAGAGTTGAACAAGAATGTAGTTGTATTGCCATTTGATTAAAAGTTTTAAAAGCTGTTGGAGCACTCTTAAATGATTGTTTACGTTCGGTTTAACTATATGCTTTATAAGACCTACGATAACTTTTATAGCACCTTTGTTAAACTGATTGACAAGAGCTATGTAGAACGTGACATAAACGCATCAAAACAAACCATTGGGAGCTCTTATACAACACCTGAGTTGATCAAACGTTGAATAATAGCTTCCAGAGTTGTACAAGAATGTAGTTGTATTGCCATTTGGTTAAAAGCTTCAAAAACTGCTTGGAGCACTCTTAAATGATTGTTTACGTTCGGTTAAACTGTTTGACAGGAGCCATATAGGATGTGGAATAAACGCATCAAAACAAACCATTGGGAGCTTTTATAAAACACCTGAGTTGATCAAACGTTGAATAATAGCTTCAAGAGTTGAACAAGAATGTAGTTGTATTGCCATTTGGTTAAAAGCTTCAAAAGCTGCTTGGAGCACTATTAAATGATTGTTTACGTTCGACCAACCACAATTTTGTTGCTAAAAATAGCACAAGTGATAGGCATGTTTATATAACCATAAGGCAATGATTATTCGACTGCAAGAGAAGTCACTCAAGATGAGCTTGATATACTTCTCTCATATGATCAAAATATGTATTCAAGAATAGAGCAGATGGAAACAGAAACGGCTGGCAATCCGGGATCATGAGTTCGAATCTTGCTTCGAGAAACCCTTGGTGGAGTAGAGGTAATTATATATAGGTGTTATTAATAAATGCAAACATTAATTTAAAACATATATCATAAAATCAACGATAACATTTCTAGATAAATTCTCTCAATTAATGATTAGAGAGATTAATTGAAAGAATATCAATCAAAGATTAAACAGATGCTTGTTACTACTTCCTCCATGATCACAGAATGTGAACTATGGCATAATTACATATTTTTTCAATGTGCACAAATAAATTAAATTAATAAAAACTGTACAAGCAATTATTTTGGCGTACCACGACAATTGTTAAACTAATTTTAATCTGTGAATATTGTGAGTACTTACACAACGGTTATTAAGGAGTCATTAAAAAGTGCTATAAACGCTTTTCACCGCTTGCTGTATAGTGATTATTTAGGAGTCATAAAAGAGTGTAACAAACGCCTCTCAGGTTCAATCTCTAATACATTTCGAAGCAGCTGTTAGGAGGTGTCTACAAACGTTGTATTAGAGCTTTCACCAAAACAATAAAGCTTGAGTTTAAATATGTATCTATAAACGTTGTATAAAAGTTGCTTCTATCCGGTTGTTAAGGAGTCATTGAAAAGTGCTATAAACGCTTTTCACCGGTTACTGTACAATGATTATTTAGGAGTCATAAAAGAGTGCAACAAACGCCTCTCAGGTTTACTATCTACTAAATTTCAAAGCAGCTGTCAAGAAGTGTCTACAAACGTTGTATAAGAGCTTTCACCAAAATAATAAAGCTTGAGTTTAAATATGTATCTATAAACGTTGTATAAAAGTTGCTTCTACTCCTATACCGCGTATACATATAATGCTGTAGTTGAACAGGTTCTCCAAACCAGTGTAAACAAGAGTTTTACAGAAGTTGTAATAAACAAATTGTACAGTTATTATTCAGCATGCAGTTGAATAAAATCACAATGGAAGCGTTTCTTCAACAAGAAATTGATTTTGGATAAACGTTTTACTGAATACGTTAGACAACACCTTTGTGTTGCAGTTGTATAGGTTCTCCAAACCAGTGTAAACAAGGGTTTTATAAAAGTTGTGGTTAACACATTGTGCAATTATTATTCAACATGCAGCTGAACAAAATCAAAACGAAAGCGTTTCTTCAACTGGAAATTGTTACTTGGGGAGGAGACAATACGGGAGCGAAAACGAACCACGTTTCTGTCAAACGCGAACCAGCTCGTAATTAGCCGATTTGAAGTGTGTAAGAGAGAGAGAGATCGAGATAGATATAGATAGAGATAGAAATAAAAGAGTAAGAAGCCAGCTGTCTCCTCTTCTTCTTAGGTGAAATTGGCGTTGACGGCGACTATGTAGCTCTTTACTCCTATGTCCTATAGGAGAAAATCTATAAGCAAACGTCAGGCTGTGCGTGAAACATGGCGGACTTTGTGCTATCCTTTCACTCCACTGAAAATTCCCATAACAAACTGTCTAAATTTGCTGGAAGAGCAAATTTTTCGATGGTGCCGTCAACGCCAATGGTTTTTGATCGGGTTGAAGACTTTTTCTAAAAACACGTGGCATCCCTAGTTCGAAAGAAGCTACACCGCATCGCTCATTGGAATTTCAATGCAAGGAGTTTTTTTTAGCTGGAATACAATTTCATAGTACAAATACAATTATTTAACAATAGGACAGCAGAACGAGCCATCAATTACGATTTACAACAGGTCACACGCTGTGCACTCATCCGTCTCCCGCATTATGGTAGCAGTGATTTTCCTTTATATTTGCGTGGGGTTTCCGTTTCAACGAATTTGTCTCACATTCAGTTGAGGTAGGATGGAGAATGGCTTTGGCCCCCCAAGACCATATTCCAAGCATGGGGTAAACAATAACATTCAACGTTTTTGCAGCATGATACTTCACATCATTCTTTAAGAAAACCCCGTGTTTGGAATACGGTCTCGTGAGGGCTGAAGCCGTTCTCCACCCTATATGCTTCTCTCCTGCGGATTCATCTACAACATCTCATGAATCGGAATTTGTCTCATCTTGGCAAAATGCCAGCCTTCAGCTTTTCATATTCCGACGCATCATTCGTCGAGATGATTCCTTGGAAATTAATTTAAACGTTGTACTCTGTGTGATACGATGTGAAAACATTATACTCTCATAACATTAACAGACAGACGACCAGCCGTCATTTGGCTAAAAATTGCTTCAACAGTTCATGCTAATGCAAAACTAACATCGTCTTTGTAAATGTTTTCTCCGTTTTCGTTTTCTTCCTGTTTGTTACAGATCTGCACCGAGCTGTGGCCATCGCCGGCGTCTGAAAGCTGGTACTTTCTATTTGCCAACCTATTTCTGTGCTACTTGGGACCGCTGATTGTGATTTCAATTTGCTATGTTATTATCTGGAAAAACGTCGCCTATCGGAAGCTGCCACGTGACCTGATCATCAGCCGGAAGAATGAGGTTTACAATCGAAGCAAGGTGAAGGTAAGCCCCATCGTCATCGTCTTCGAATCGAAAGTTTTTTTTATTAAGCAACTTTTTCTTTTACTTCCGGAAAAACTAAATAGGTCATAAAGATGGTTTTCGTAGTAATCATAACGTTTGCCATCTCGTGGCTGCCACTGTATGCCATCTTTTGCTTCGTCAAGTTTGCCGGTGATCTCATCTACGACGAGTCAGGTAGTACCAACTAACGATTTAACGAATGGCTTTAACCTTCTTAACAGCTTCTTCCTCGACAGTGCAAGCCATCATCTTCGGAATTCTGCCGGTAGCGCAGTGGCTGGGAGCGGCCAACTCGTGCATCAATCCCATCCTGTATGCATTTATGAATCGTAAGTTTCGAGCCGGCTTCCGGCATCTGTTCCGGTCATGCTGTAGCAGCGAGGACGACGAATGGGATCAACCGACAACCGTCCTGAGAAGTGATGACACCCGCGAACAGATGCTCCGTCGGATACGTACTGAGAGGCATTTCGTCCGCAATGGGACTAGAAATGGAGTCGGGTCACCGCAGTGCGGCCCACTCCGATACAGCCAATCAACGAAGGTACAAATCCAATCGAATCGTGTCGATTGATTTTTCAATGAATCGTAACGTAAATTTAGATGTATAGAATTTATCAATTTTTCCAAATATTCTATCAATTTGTCATATTCCGTGAGCGGAAGTAAAGAATAAGAGTACAATACGCTATATAAGTCCAAACGTAAAACGTAATGAAAATCGAATTGATTGCTCGTTATTGTAATAAGGGAACCACCAAAGCAACAAAAGGTAGAATTAGCATATGTTTTAAAAACATTCCATCGTCAGGTTTAGCCTTGGAAAGGTGAACACAACATTTTATGAAGGTAATGAAATCTATTTTCGTACAGTATTTTGTGATATTTAGCTAAAAGTGCATCATATTTATCGTTGTCCTCAAAGTCCAATAAAGTAACTTTCAAAGTTCAAACGATGTCAGACGTTAGAAGAAAGAAATTCCATGGTGAGAACAGGTGAGAACCATTGGTGAAGCGATTCGAACGGCCCTGGTACGGTGTATAGTCAACTAAAGAAAGGGTGGCCCATCAGAAATTCAAAACTTTTTTTTTTCAAAATGAAGCACCCTAATCCTCATGAAAATGAAGTCCTTGAGGGTTCACTTTTGGTAAACGACGCTCTGAAACATGATGTAAGCTCATGAAAAAATGAGCGCTCAAGGATTTTATTTATACCACTGATGCTAACAGGTTAAGGTATTGCCGAAGCCATCATTTACCCTAATAACCATGAATTCATCTTCTACCACTAACAAATAAAGCTTCGAATCTTCATCAAAAGCTTTGTCCGATTGGTCACACAATCTCGAAAGACTTTCCGAACCAAAAATGATTCCGAAACCAGAAATATGTTTTATTTCAAAATCATAAAGCTGTAGCTTCAACGCTCAACCTTCGGCTATTGAACATGAATGAAGTTTGATAAATTTTAGTAAATTAATCATTTTATCACAGACAAACACACGTAGCTCTTTGAATAAGTTTTTCTTGAAAACAGTGTACCTCAATAAATAGGACATCAGTAACAACATATATCTACCTTTTCGCGGAAAACAAGCTTGCTCGCGCTAACAATGTTGCATGCAAGGTAAACGTCAAAGTGATCCTATGCCAGCACTGTGGCACAAACGAAGTGACAGACAGAGCGGCTCGAAAACTTTGGTGACGCACCTGCTATTGCAATTTTTCAGTGTACCACATGGCAACACTACTAATGGATTGTACCACATGGCAACACTAAATGTACTAGAATGTTTTGGTTCTATCTCTTTCACTCTACTCTAAACTGAAATGCTTTAAAAATTGACTAAATGATAAACTCTTTGCACACTGTCAAAGATCATATTGCACACAAAATCAACTATGTTCAAATCAAAACAAAAATACTAGCCCATCTGGTGGCTGATGGCACAAGCTTCTAAGAAAAATCTATTACAGCAAACCACATTATTTTAATTGATTTCTTCGCCAGTTAGTCGTCTGTCACTTCGTTTGTGACTGCGGTGAGCAGTTTGCGCAAATGATATAATCAAATCAATCGTTAAATGCGTGAACGATGATCCAGAATGAAGAGTTACGTCTGTTGGTCTAGGATTTTATCAAGCTTCTGCATTCATTTTCCATCAGATGTCCCTGCTGTTGTTGGCGGTGACATCTATCGAAAATTACACATAATATGTTTTCCGTTAATTGTTCACAGAGGAAAAAATTACCGAAGTCGAAATACTACAAGGGAGAGCCCTATGGGGTTGTACGCAATGGTGACGTAGGACTACGTGGTCTTATATAATAAATCATATTTGTTAACTGCAGCAGGAGCTTGTGTTTTGTGTAGGAATAGGAATTTGAGTGGGGTTCTCTCTGATTATACTCTTTAGAGTGACGCGCTTAAAATAGATGGCGCACAGCGACTCACCAAGAGCTACTGATTCCGATCAATAGCGGTGCGGCTTCTTCCTCCTTCTATGGATCCTCATGTGGGCTGCAGCTTTCTGCTTGCGGGGAGTCTTTCGTTGTGTACTGAAGAACACCACCACTCACCACGCGGTTATTGAATAAACACCGTTTGGTGAAATTCAACTTTGAAATCTGTGTTAGGGAAATCGCTTTTCGTAGGCAATCGGTAACAATTTTACTTACCATAGCAACAGTTGCGCATTCTTGCAATGTTCAATAGTGATATTTTGAAAAATGATAAAGTCTTAATTTTAACAGATGCGTAGGAATATTTCTGATCCATTGGTATTGGTTCAGGGACAGCTGAGTTCAAAATCTTTCATAATTTTGTTACATGTTCCATTTTTGGTTTTCACAAAGTGTACCCCATATAGAAATCACACATGTTAAACTAAATGCATATGTAGAGGTACCAGACATGTTTTGCAGTGTCAGGTACTCTATGTTGTAGTCTGTGAGAGCGAAATCACAAATAGAGTGTCATCAAAATACATGTTGAGAAATTGAACTAGTGAGAACAAAGTTTCTCTCTCAAATTTGATTTTTTTGGTCTCTGTGGACTGGTAGTAAATCAGGTAAAACTGGTAGAGGTAACTCTAAGACTGAAGGTCCCGAAATAACATGCTCAACTTTTTGGCTCAGCTCTGGTACTCTTTTCGGTCCCAAGCTAATCGATTCACCCCTCGAAACATAGGAAAAACCAATAACCCCTCATTTTATCTGTCAAACTTTCATAGCGAATCAAAACAAACATTGTGTAGTACTAGAATTTCGACTAGAATGGGGTTGCTTGGTTGCTATTGCTTGGGACCAATAGGCTAGTCAAGTAGTGAGCCAATTTAAAATCGTTAGTTTCGTATTGATTGTTAGTAAAACTGTATGGGGAAAAATCATTTTTATTTAATTGTAGCTTGTTTAACAATAATTGACCACTGTCAAGCAGTTTTGGCGTGACTTTCATCCAGCGATTTCACAAAACTGGACCAACTAATTTCTATTTTTTTTTATGAAACGCACAAAAACTGAACGACAAGTCCCTGACTAATTTATTTAGGTTGTCGTTCACTTTTGTTGACCTGAATATGCACGAAAAGCGAATTATTCACACTTATCTTAATCTCTATATGGGGATTTTTATCACTTTCCTACCAGCGGAACAGCGTCATGTTCCACAAACCCGACGAAAGACGAAAAGACAATGAAAATCAAAACAAATGGCATACGACGTGATGACAGGGATGACAGTAACTCGTCCATTTAAGTGCGCAATATAATAATACATAAGGAACCCTGTTTGTTAACCCCTTCTTGATAATCTTTTTTTTTTTTAATAATACGAATTCCATGAGAAAACAAGATCTTAAAGCACCCAAACAAAACAATAAAAATTAATCTTATCAAAAAATAGAGTTAAAATAATTAAATATACAGAGGAGTTGACAAAATTAGGACTTTACTGTAAATCATATATTTTAAAATATTATATTATATACTTGGTTGGGCGGGAGGCAGCCTAAGGGAACCAAAGGATTTGTTGACTGGACGAGGGTCGTGGATTTGTTAGTCCCTTGTCACTGTGGAAGGTTGCAACGGCTACCATTATACACACCCCTTGCAGCAGCGCATACCTTCGTACACTACAGACCTTGTACCGACCACAGCACAAGAGAGAGTGTAAAGTGCAAACAATTTATCAGTTCAAACCAAGCGCTTCTCGCGACAAGTTCGTTTTCTATTTTTGACCGCAATAAAAAGTTTCCGAGTTTTAAACCGTAGTTCTCGCGTGTGCATTATTTCTGCTGTCCACTCCGAATCCCATACGCTGAATCAAACCAATCCCACCAAGGTGGTCATTCTCTAAAACAGGCCTGATAGGACTAGGAACTGTAATTAATAATAATTGAAATTTCACAGGAACTAAAGTTGAAAAGACGCATCTGTGTCACTTGAAAAATTCATACATGTAAACCACACAAACACAAGAAATAAAGATCATTTAACTGTTAAAAAAAAAAAAAAAACTGTTAAATCCCATACGCTGTTTTTCCACTTCGGTGACCCTGACTTTGCCGTCAGGTTATGGGCCCAGCGGGATCGGTGTGAAGATTTGATAAAAAGTTAGCCAGTTTCGGATCGGCGCTTTTGTTATTCCGCCGCGTGTGCAAGGAGAGAAAAAGAACAGCGTGAAAGGCTCGTATTCTCGAACGGGTACCATTTTGTTGTGCGTGTGAGGTGAAGAAAAACAACTCGACATGGCCGACGCAAAATTTTCGATTCCCAAGCTCAACGGGACGAATTGGGCTACATGGAAAGTGCGTGTGGAAAATTTGTTGTGCCGGGAAGACCTGTGGGACGCTGTCGCGAGTGATATACCCGCCGAAGCGGGTCGTACTGTGGTTTGGAAAGCGTCCGACAGAAAATCAAAAGCGACACTTGTGCTGTTGCTCGAAGACAGCCAGCTTCCCCTGGTGAAAAACTGTGTTTAATGCGCTAAAAGCATATCACCAGAAGACCTCCCGTTCAGTGCGTGTTTCATTTCTGAAAAAGTTGTGTTCCACCAATCTTCCGGAGCATGGTGATTTGGAGCAACATTTGCTCGAGATTGACGAGTTGTTCGATCGATTGGATGCTGCTGGAACGACACTTGATTCAGACACGAAAATCTGTTTGCTTCTTCGAAGCCTTCCTCCATCTTTCGATGGACTAGTGACTGCTCTTGACAGCCGGTCTGGTGATGACATCACGTTAGATGTAGTGAAATCGAAATTGATGGACGATTACCACCGACGGCTAGAGCGAGAAAACGGTGCGCGAAAAGTGGAAAAAGCTATGCGGTCTGCTGAAAGTTACCCGGGAAAGGAGACTCGGATTTGCCACTTCTGTAAGAAGGTTGGCCACCTCCGTCGGAACTGCCGGAAGCTACAAGCTTCGAAGAAAGAAGACAACCTTCCAAAGAAAGGTGACAATGCGAAAGCAAAAGTGGTCCAGAGTGACAATAAAGGAATTGCCTTTACCGCGGGTGCCGAGAAGAGTTGTTCGTGGATTATCGACAGTGGTGCCAGTGCACATATGACAAACGATAAATCGTTTTTCGGTTCGTTGAAAGAATTTGTCGGAGGGTGGATTACTCTTGCTGACGGGAAGAAAACTCAGATTCTTGGCAAAGGCAGTGTTATTTTGAACGGAGTTGACGGCAACGAAAAGCCGATCAGAATTGATATTAGTGAGGTGAAATACGTTCCGGGATTGTCGACCAGTTTGATTTCGGTAGAAAAGCTGGCGCAAATGAATTTGGAAGTGAGTTTCGACAATAAAGGCTGCCGACATTGGTAATCCTTGCACTGATTGTGGGTTCCATTCACATCCCTAATAAAATTTGTATGGTTATTTTGCTTAACGACGTGTTTCGAGTATCATCCAAACTCGAGTTTCGCATACAACTGAGTAGACTCTCTGTCTCTATCTATCTCTCTGAGGTATTCTTAGTGACTGTACACACTTAGAAATTATTTCCGACTTCGGTAATTTTTTACCCAACTTCAACAGCTGAACGTTCGGCAAAACATTGATCCTCATTTCAAAAGCTGTTTCACTATATATTCATTTCAAAACTCTGCCAGTCGTGTTTAAACAATCGAGGAGTTACTCTTAAAACCAATGAATTAAAATGCCTGATTTTTACCGAACATTGAATTTTCTGGTGAATTTTCACTTAAATTTGACAGATGTAAAGTTTTCAAATAAACCTGCTATTGTACCAGACTTATTTCTGTCAAACCAGGAATCACGATCAACAACAGAGCGATTTTCGAACATTATAATTTATTTTCGAAGCGTCAAATTTAAATGAAAATTCACAAAGCCTACATTTGACAATAGATTTAGCTGTCAGTTTGTCATAAAGCGTCAGATCTGGATCTAATGTGGGTACCCACGTGGCTCTTAGGTGTGCATTTTATTTCCCAGAGTAAAGGAATTCAGCTAGAAACATCAATCGCTTATAAAAACGGCAAATTTGAATATCGTTGCATGCAAGTTTGCAGCCAAAGCTTTCGTTCAACTTTTCCTTTTTCATTCTGGTAGCCCTATATCCTATAAATGGCTGCGCTCATTTCGTGTGTTTTTTTGACAGCAATGGGTGCCAAACAAACGTCACTTCTATCAATCCGTGCGTGCATTTTGTTGTTATCACTTTGTGAGAGAATCGTTCTTCGCGTTTTGATTCAATTTGCTAAATTTTTACGAATTAACGTGCAATTGTTTCCCAAATTTACCGGAAAATCCCCGAACAAACACAATGGCCCTTCGTGCGCAGTTCGAAAACAATGACGACATTGGCGTGTTCAGTAAACTGACAAATTCCTACTGCTTAGTTGCGATAGGAGGAGCGGAAGCATTCTATAGGTGAGTAACTGGAGGATGTTGTGAAATTCCGGTGCTTCGGTCTGGGATGTCAGCTGTTTGGAGTAGATTCCCTTTGGTTTACGTCCACTTCTATCAAATGAAAGTAGTAAATTAATTTTAATTAAGGTTTTAAGAAGCATCTTCGAGGTTATGACACTTCCATGTGCCCTTGTTTTGGTTGACGCTCTGCCCCATATACGTACAGCGGAGGCTTGTTTCAACGAACACCTAACGATTTAAAAATGCATCACTCAACAGCGTCTTCGAATCAGAACTGGCCGATACGATTCCGGTGGTGCACGCCAGTATAGCCGGATGCCGCATCATCGGTCGGTTGTCGGTGGCGAACAAGAATGGTCTTATTGTACCCGGTAGCACCACAGATGTCGAACTGCAGCACCTGAGAAATTCGCTTCCCGATGCGGTAAAGATTCAGCGTGTCGAAGAACGGCTTTCGGCTCTGGGGAACGTCATCGCCTGTAACGACTATGTAGCCCTGGTTCATCCGGATATTGACAGAGAAACCGAAGAGATCGTAGGCGATGTGCTCGGGGTGGAAGTGTACCGACAGACGCTGGCCAACAATGTCCTGGTGGGAGCATACTCGGTGCTGAGCAATCAAGGTGGACTGGTCCACCCGAAGACACCTACCTCAGAGCTGGACGAGTTGGCTTCGCTGTTGCAGATTCCGTTGGTGGTGAGTGGAGGCAATCTGGTTTTCCTAAATTTCCACAAACTGTTCTAAGCCAAATCTTGTTTCTAGGCCGGCACGGTTAATCGTGGCTCGGAAGTGCTTGCCGGCGGTGTGGTCGTTAACGATTGGTGCGCTTTCTGCGGAATGAGTACAACGTCCACGGAATTGTCGGTGGTGGAAAGCGTGTTCAAGTTGAACGAAGCGCAACCGGCCGGAGTGACGAACAATTTACGGGCATCTTTGATCGAGGCGTAAGTGTTTGCAGTGTTGATTCAGAACTACCTACAGAGGAGGAATCGTTAATTTCATTTGCTTTGTTATTTCAGGATGGCCTAAACGGAATTATGTGGAAAAGGTGGGTAAAATTATTAATCTTTAAATGTTACTGATTGAGCGGAAAACGCAAACAAAAAATAATAGAATGTCATAAAGTTAATCACATGTACAATCTATCATGCAACAGACGATTCGTTTAAATATACGAATTCCTTATAATGTACGGATTTAGAAGATACCCGAATGATTTTAGATGACATATCCATATGACTTTGAGCAGCGCTCGTTTTTCAACAGGAATTACAGTCGTCTTCATAAAACTTGGAAATTACAGGTAATATCAACGACAGCATTTTGTATATGTTACTTTGATCAATACGTACCAAGGTAAAATAGAAGATACCGCATAAATTTTTATGAAGCTCCATTATGCACCATGATTCACGTTGTTAAATCTACGAACGGAGCAAATTTAAGCATTTGTTTTTGCTTTAGTTGTAGGGTAATTTAAGTAAAAATTACCTGTGATACGGATGAATTCAATAAATTCTCGATACACATTTCGAATTTTGACTTGGTATTTGATTGGTGTAGATCGCTAGCATCGTCATCAGTTTCCGTAGTGTAGTGGTTATCACGTCCGCTTCACACGCGGAAGGTCCCCGGTTCGAACCCGGGCGGAAACACGTATTTTAATTACCAAAAATAAAGTTGTTGTTTATTAATTTATTTGATAAGGCTCAACCGAATTAACTTTACAGAGCCGAGGATTCTTGGTCACTATACAATACATCTTAAAACTATAGTCAAAAGGTACAACACAATAAACACTTTATCTTCCGCTATCCAAAAAGCCTCCTCCATCAGAACTGGAGCCGCTTCCAGTAGTTTCATTGTATGGCAAATTGCTGTACGCCAACGAGGGTCAGAGCGCGTCCATTGCAGCAATGGACGCAAAACGTGGTCAGCACTCACACACTCATCACGAAACGGTTGCTTTCCAAAGTCGACGACGCATCGACCAAAAGAACTGCTGATGAAGAACAATGAGGAGGACCACACAATGGTTGCTGCCGAGAAAACAGACGATCGCGTAGCACACATCGAGAGTGGCCTGCTTTTGTCGACAGCCGAGTGAACACTGCCAAAAATAAAGGGAAAGTAGTTGTTTATTAAACAAACACCGACTGACTGGACTTGACTGATGGATCGATCGATCTGCCCAGAAATTAGACGATTGCGCTAAATATGCCAATTGTTGTTTTACATGATAGGTGGCAATCTGGTCTTGTCCAAGGTTTTGCCACTGCATAAAATTAAAAACAAATATGTGCATGGATAAATGACTTGAAAAATTAAATAGGTAATGTGCAATATAAATAAGGAGTTGTCTAATGTGCATGATGGGTATGAAACTGAGCACAGCAACCAGTGTGCTTTTAAAAGAAATTTTTCTGAAGGCCAATTGTAATGGTATTACAGCCTAGTGGTTAAAGATGTGATTTTAGTGATCTAATCCTGTTTTTTGAACTGTATGCAAATGATATTGCTCAATTATGGTTCAATAATGCGTAACCTTACAGTTCCTAAGGATCACAGGGTGTTCTACCGTTTAGCCATGAGAAGCCCCGCTTTACGATTGGGGTAGCTTTTCTTATCGATAATGTTATTGCTAGGGTTACCATATGATATCCTAAAGGAGAACATGTCCTCCTTTTTCAATAATTTTTCTACATCCTCCTTTTGCCCGAAAATATCCTCCTTTTTAATCCTTGCATTTACATTTACAGTTACATATTCATTAAATTGTTTTCAAAGAGCGTTGTTTGCAGAGCTTATTTGTTTAACCTCATCTTATCTAGCAAATGCCACTCGATGGTGAGACTAGGAGTATACTACAGCTGTCAACCCCCGCACATTTAGGCTGCGATCAATTTGGTAAACTTTCACTTAAATTTGACAGATGGAAAATTTTCAAATAAACTTGCTTATTTCAGACAGACCAGGAATCAATTTTGACAAATAATTTCTCGAAAGTTGGACGATGAACAACAGAGGGATCTTCAAACATTATAATTTATTTTCGAAGCATCAGTGAAAATTCATCAAATGTAACACTGCGTTCCATTTTTTTTTCTGAATTTTTACTTAAATTTGACATTTCGAAAATAAATTACAATGTTCGAAAATCTCTCAGTTATTGATTGTGTGATTTCCGAAAAGGTGTTTGTCAAAATTAATTCCTGGTCTGCCAAAACTAAGTCTGGTACAATAGCAGGTTTATTTGAAAATTTTCTATCTGTCAAATTTAAGTTAAAATTTACCAAATGGATCACAACTACACAGATTGAGTTGCTTCAGTAAGGCGGGCGTCCATATGCGCGCGAAAGCCTTCAACCGTACGGACGCCCACGGTACTGAAGTAACTCGTCAGCTGTAGCCTTAGCGGCTATATCATCCATTTTGTCCAAAATTTCCTGACTGGCTGATCCTTCCGAGCCTCGGTAGGTAATACCAAATCTCGCACTTTTTTGTTCCTGGTAGCCATGAACAGTGTCTTCGAGCGGTTACCAGCGAACATCTGCATTTTCGTGTACGCAAACGACGTTCGAATCGTAGCCACAGGTCAAACTCCGGGACGAACGAGGATTAGAGCCCAAGCAGGGGTTTCCGCCGTAGCCAGATGGGCCGCTTCGAAAGGTTTTCAGCGGTCTGCTGAAAAGAGCGCTAGGTGCCACGTTTTCCAGTACCGACATCGGGTCTGCGGACCTTCCATAAAGATCGGTAATCAAGCTATCCCATTGAAGAAAACTGTGAAACTGCTGGGGGTTGTCATTAATCAGTCGCTCAGTTTTGACCACCACCTTCAAGGGGTCAAGGCCAGCTGTCGCAGCAGGATCATCTTCATCCGCACAATCTCCCGTACCCACCGGTCCAACAACAGAGAAGTACGTTTCCGTTTTGCCCGGGCCATCGTAGACAGCCGGCTGATGTATGGACTCGAGCTGACCTGCATAGCCACCGACAAGGCAATACAAATACTCGCTCCGGTGTACAATAGATACACGCGGATCATCTCCGGTCTCCTATCCTCGACGCCAGCCGATGCCAGCTGTGTCGAAGCCGGCATTCTCCCTTTCCGGTACCGCATCTATGCAGCCATTGCCAACAAAGCCACTGTATTTTCAGTAAATACCGCCGGAAACGACAGATAGCGAAAACTCATTGTCCTCCTTTA